ATTCACAAAGTGTCCCATCTTTCCGGCTTTAGTATACCAAACTGTGCTTACGTTCCCTAGAATAGTAAACTTTTTGCATCTTTTGACCTCAACGTTCATTGCAGTCTTTTTAACCAAAGTGTTCTTTAAGATACTTTGACTCGATGTAAACATGTTTGCATTCTCCCAATTTATTTTATCCTGTTTTCTACTTATACGTTTCCTTGTCACGAAAAGTCGTCCGAACGTTAATAATGGCGTGTCGGGCAAACATTTGACTTTGTATTTTTTATTAAACATACCGGTTTTCAAATCTTAGAAATGATCCAAAATAGAATATGCTTTCTGTGTCTGCTTGTTCGACTAAGAAACGGCATTTTCAATAAAGTTCCGGCAGATTGAGTATCTCTCCCTCTACACGACTTGTCGTATAAATTGCCTTGCTACTGACATGTTACTCAACGCTGATCACCCGACTCGTTCTGTAATCACTGTCCTTGCCTTAGTTGTCAGAATTCGAAACCCGAAGTTTTTATGTTGGCGATCGACAATAATTGTTATAGAAGTAGGCGTTTGTCTGCCTCTGTTTGTTAGTTGGTGACACGTCCTTTTCTCTTGGGTTACCTTCATCAGCTTTCGGCCTGTCGTCTCTGTGCGTGCAAGCTTTTCCGCGTGCACAAATAGCCATTTGGATCAGCTACGAATTCGTATATTTTCCAACCCGAAAGATTTGCTTTTCCCAGTCTGTGCATGTATGTCGATGTAGGCCGCCCCCCCCCGCTGTTTCAATCTTCCATCCAAGATACATAGCAGTAAGCCTAGCGCCGTTGCCGAACTTTGGACGCTATTCAAGATTCAAATTATATCTGAGGTTTATGCAGCCAAAAATGCCAATTGTTGAAATTAGGAGACAACTCTGTCCGCATTGAATTACTGTCTCCTAAATGTCTCGAGGCGTCAGATGAACATGAGATTTTTCGCCGCCGTTTGCAAAGTTGACCACATATTTTAGCGTATTTTGAAAGTCACTGTAGAAAAGAAGTTCGAAACGCTTTGCTGACCCATAATACCCGCTTAAAGCAAAGACAAAGAGTTCTGCTAACGTTTTGGGTAGGACATTAACGATGGGAGTTGAAGTTAATCAGCCGGATAAATGATTGACGTTTGGATCTGTAACTTTTTATTTGATTCCCCTAAATTTATTTGCTCCTGCGCTTCAAACGACTGTGGTCTTCAATCCAAGAGGTATCGAACAGGGATAAAAGCGGTGTGGAGTCATTTATAGTTTTGCACTCAAATGCTCATTCGTACTCTGAACCTGGATGGATGGCGTACTATTTAAGTCCAATACCGTTAACAAGATTGTCTTATGTCGGCAATATGCATCCTTAACCTTTCATTTTTTATCAACTTAAAACTGGAGTTTCCATACATCCGAATTCTTAACGGGCGGTTTTTGCACTTAATCTATCACTCATAACTCTGCTTAAGCTATAACCTGGTCCTTCTGACTGCGTTCAATGATTTTGGGCTTTCCATATACCATCTTGCAACACGGGTGTTGTGGTTTGTGCTCTTCAAGGCCTCCCTCAATACAATATACGTGCATGTAGTACGCAAACATCTTTTCCTCTGCTGCGGTGTCTCGTTCATATGTTAGTTAACATCTGTGTTCGAGCTCTGCTATGCCCTTTTGCCCATAGTTGTCCACGCGTTCTCCCAGTCAATCAATTTCACACATCTTTCCCAGAGATTGGGGATCTGAAAATCTACTTCCTGGCCGCTTAGGGTCAAATGACTATCACAGAAGCGGCGTTAGATGGCATGTGCATGGGTATGTTTAATTGCTGGCTGGCTGCTGTAAAGGTGTACAAGAAACCGGAGTGATCTCGAAGACCACATTGAGAGCCACACCAGTATCGTCTCACATACTTCGTCTCTTCCAAGCTGGACAAATTTTTACAGACCACCATACTGCTTTAACATAAGCGGCAAAACGCTTTCCAAGAGGCAGTTAATAGGAAAAAAAATGCGCTTTCCTTGCCCTTCCCGCTTATCTCCATCCTAATATGTAGTTGTTTCTAAGGATGGGTTCAATGGGTGAATTCGAAACGCCAGGCGAATAACCTTCTTGCTCCAGCGACCGCTGATAAGAAAGGTTCTAGAACACTGTCAAGGACTTCCGAGGCCAGAAGAAGAGGGAAGAGCCTTCACTGGGAGAGGTTTATTGTGCATGTCTGACGTTTCGCACAGGGGAAAAAGCAGCGCAGCATATGACAAGAACCAGGCGCTGGAGTATCCATCCTCTAAAGATGGATAGTCGAAACGTCACGCACACAACAAACCTCTTCCGACGAGTACTCTACCTTCTTCTGTCGTACCACTCTCCCCCCGAGAATCGCATTTTTTTACAACCACTATTCGCTGTGGACTTGGAGGGTATTGTCTAACTATACATTGCTCTTCCTTTTCTGTATTTTGACTAGGCGCGCACTTGAGACACAAACCTAGTGTAATTGGCCTTGAGAGTTGCTACAAAACCTCCAGTGACAGCAGCAACAGCATTAAAGTACAAAGAAACCCCGCATGCTTGTCTGGTCTTGCAGAGGAGGGCCGCGCCTGCGAAAC